CCCTACACACGCCTGGGGCTCCCTCCTTGCCTCCTTCACATCTGCTCCAAGGTCACCTGCTCAGTGAGACCGACCCTGACACCCCCCACCTCCCGTACCCTACGTCCCTCACCCCCAAGAGCACTGATCATTTGCTAACATACTATTAATTTTACTAATTTATTTATTTACTCTGCCTCCCTCCATAAAATAAAAACTCCAGGAATGAAGGGACTTTGCCTACTGTGTCCAATATTTCTATTTCCAGCACCTAGCATAATGCCTGGCACATAGTAGGTGTTCATTAAATATTATCGAGGAAAGGAGAAGAAATGCCACCTCCCCATTCAAATGCATGGCCTGGCAATGTCTAGGATTTAGGAGAGGAAAGAGAAAATGCTGAGGAAAGGACTCAGTGTCTCCCTAGATTGTTCAGAAGGACAAATGGCCTGGAAGCCCTGGTTTGGGCCGTGTGGTGATGTCCAGGTGACAGGATGCTGAGGCCTCTGCACCTGTATCCTGGAGAGAAGGACCACTGTCTGGGGGTGTCCTTCCCTGCCCAGAGGACCTGAAGCTGCCCCAGAGTGTGATGGCATTCCGGAAACCAGCTCTGGTGCTTGTTCATCATCAGAGTGGGAAGCCCCTGGCTGTCTTCTGAGGATGATGCCTCATTCTGTGTTGGGGAGGGGGCGGTCAGAGGGTAGTGGGGAGCCAGGCTGTGGAGGGTACAGCAGGGACCGAAGGAGCAAGCTGGGTTGGAACCTGGCTAAGGGGCTGAGGAGGAACTGGGGCCACCAGGCAGGATCCAGGCCAGGGGCTCTTAACCTGGGGTGCCCGACCCCCAAGGGATCCATGGAGAGTATTCATGAACTTGGATGGGAGAAATGACATCTCCATTGTTACAAACCTTTAATCCAATCGAGACATTTCCTTCCACCATAGTGGCCCCAAATGGCAGTGTTGTCAGCAGTTCCTGTGACTTTGCCATCAGTAACAATCAAAAATATGTTCACATCACACTCCAGTTGTGAATCTCTCAAAATGTCATTTGTGCTGATCATGTCTTCAAAATTACCTTTGCTGTTAGACTTGCTTTTGGATCTTACTTCACTTAGCACATATATTACAATTGCTATTTTGATAACTGGTTTCCTTTGAAATCCTATTATTTAATATTATGCTTTCATAACCATTATTCTGATGGCTTGATCTGACTGGAGGGGGGCTCATGGTACCAAGAAGGCTATCAGGCCCCTGTAGCTGTTCTCTGGGGATATCCTCAAGGGCACAGGGGTGACAGGGGACTTTGTTTTCTTCGGGCCAGAGGGAAGGATCCTTCCCTGGGTATCTGACCCGGGAGACCAGGTGCCAGGTCCCCACAGGCCTGCAGTGCTCAGTGCAACCAGCAGGTGGCAGCCCCGCTCAGCCATGCTTCTGCAGTTTCCTCCTAGTGCAGGCTGTGGGCACCACAAGAATACAGGGGACACGGATAGCGTGGGTCCTGGCAGCTGTGGCACCCACAGATGCACACACCTGTGCACACGCCACATGCATATGCACGCTCACACTGACAGCTGGAGGAGCCTACCTGGGAATCAGTTTCCAGAACATCCTGGCCCTTCCAGGACAGAAGGCATTCCCAGGATTCTTGCCTTAGGAAGTCCTTTCAGAAGAGGGGACCCCCTTTGTTCTTCCTCA